TGCCACAGCAAACAGCGTCACGCCCCTCTTTCCAGCTTTAGCAAATGCAGATGTCAGCCTGCTGGCCGTCACGTCGGTCACTGGCAATACGTGGAATGCGCAATCCGTAGCACATCTCCGACGCTATCTGCAAGCGGCGGGCACAGCCAACAATTCCGACTCGCAGCGCGCTGCCCAGGTCAAGGCCATCTCGGGCGCGAATCGAGCGCTGGTTCGGACACCAGACAGCTACGAGGCTGATGCGGCCCTCACAGGGCGCTTGCGCTTCGCTGGAGCTTATAGACCATTTAACGCTACAGCAGAAGCGCAGGGAGCAGATCCCTCCGGCGACTTGCAAAATAATGCGCGCGTGACACTTCAAGGCCAAGAGGTACGTAGGCCGCCGCCTGTTGTCCTGGCGTCCAAGGGCGCTTTCATGCGCCCCCCTTCCGTCACACGATGCTCATTCATCAGCCACTTTTTGCCTCAAAGAGACCCGGACCTCTCTCTGGAGCGCTGCAGGAATCTGCCAATCTCTACGCTCCCAACTTTCTCGTCGAGAAGTCGAGGGAAGCACGAGCAAAGAATGCGACTTTTAGCATAGCCGCCATCGGCCCGCTGACCAATCTGGCGCTTGCTCAAGCTCAAGATCCAGAATTTCCCAAAGGCGTGGAGCTGTGGTATCAAGGCGGCTACCTAGGCACAGGCCTCGAAGCTGTTCTCTCTGTCATCAACAGCGACTACTATGTAGACCTCAACACAGCCATCGACCCCGAAGCGGCCAAAGCAGTGCTGAGAGCCCCGTACGCCCGAATCGTCTGCGTGGCCGACTTCACCAGCAAGATCATCGCCTCCAACGACACCTTGTCCCGCGCTGCCGCACTGTCGGACTCTGCAAGCGATGATCAGCGATACCTCGCTCGTCAAATTTCCGATCCCGTCGAAGTTGGCCTGCCTGCGTGGGATGACATTGGCGTCGCCCTGCCCATCTATCCCGACCTCATCACCAAGAGCATCAAAGTGCGTCTGGATGTGGATGCCAGAGCAGGTGGACCGGCGTATGGCAAAGCTTTTGCGTGGCTGGATGATCTGTAAGTGGTTACGAAACGATGGGAAACCTCACAACCGAGCTCACCAGCCGCTGACACTTCATCCCATGTCGCTGTAGAGCACCTCCTGGTCTGCAGGAGGTCGAGTTTCCTCTGTCCATCAATGAGACTCGCTTCTTTGAAATTTACGTTTCAGCTGCGCAGGCGTTCATCAATCCCAAATAGAGAAGCTGATGAGACTGTACCCCTGCCTTGGAACCCCGAAGCAGTCCACTCAGACTTGGGCACCTTTCGATTCTGGTTCTGCTTGCCTGCCATCCATGCTCCTTAAAGGTCACGCGCCATCACGCTCGCCCATGCACACTCTCGGCTCGCTCTGAATGCACTGAATGACTTGACCATCACATTTGTTGAAGTTTCACCTTTGCCTGGCTTATCAAACCTTAGCGTCCTCCGTGAGTAGCCCCAGCGCTCGCCTGGAATGCGCCAGACTTTCCATCGTTGGTGGAGGAAAAGCCGTCCTTGGCGGAGGCGTTTTGCAGGTCGCCCTTTTGAAGGATTTGCAAGACGACGTCGGTATCGTTGTGCGTACCGAAGAAGTTGTCCAACTGCGTGCGAGAGATGGGCGAGAAGGAAGGGGA